ATATATACATACACATACATATATACATACACATACATATATACATACACATACATATATACATACACATACATATATACATACACATACATACATACATATCATACATACATACATATACATACATATACATACATACATATACATACATATACATATACACATACATATACATATAGACATACATATACATATATACATACATATACATATATATACATATATATATGAATGTATATGTATATATATATATATATAAATATATATATATATATATATATATATATATATATATATATATATATATATATATATATATATATATATATATATATATATATATATATATATATATATATATATATATAAAGTTTTAGATGGATTTACACTGTCTGTTTTAATATAACTATAAATACCAATAATTTTGTTAATTCATGGAAAAATATTTATTTATTTTATGTTGTAGGCATAGTCAACGGAATTTTCCAAAAACAAATAATAAAAGAATTGGCCTTACAAGACAATAAAATTTCTAAGATATTATTCTGCATGTATACGCCTCTCAGATATTGATGGGTCTCTACAGAAAATGAAAAGACACTGTAAGCATTGATAAAATTTAGGAGCCAAATGTATGATAAAGTCATCTCTTACTGTTCGTTGACATGGTAAATAAATGCTTTTATCTAGCTTAGTTGAAACCATTGCATATATAACAGATTCCTTAATGCAAAACTTTATTACATTATTTTATTTTCTCTTTTTTTATCAACAAAAAAATAAAATTATTAAATGTTCTAACTCTTTTACATAAAACACAAAATTCTTCTAACTAAAAGACCCAATAAAAAGCTCTAAGATGTATAACAAGGAAACGCACATGTAGTCAGTTAAAAGTGAGAGAATGAAACACACTAATTACACTAAGAACTAAACAAGTCAGCCATCGCGGTTGTGATGGATAAAAATAAAATTTATTATTTTCTTTATGAGTATAACTTTCATTTTTTTTCTACTATCATTTACTCTAGTTACTAAAGAAAACTTTGAAAAAATAAATTAGGTTAATAAAGGAAAAAAAAATACCGACAAAGACATGAAAATAAGTAATCGCTTATATATAAACATATATTAACTTTCCTAAATGTAAAATTTGAATTTGTTCAAAGTTTTGATATAATTTGATATAATAAACTTAAAAAATGAATGAATATAATTTATTTAATTAATTATGTTAATTTTTTTTAAGAAGAAAAGATGATTTTATTTTATATCCATTATGTATACATAAAAATGTTATCTAAATTAGAATGTAAAATTTGAATTTGTTTAAATTTTGATATAATTTGGTCGTGAAACTTTAAAAATGAATGAATATAGTTTGTTTAACCAATTGTGTTAAATATTTTTGTAAGAAAGAAAGATGATTTTATTGTGTATCTCATTATATATTGGAGATAGGTATATATATACACATAAATTTGATCTAAATCGGGAATGTAAGGTTTAGGGTGTAGGCTTTATGGCAAAGGTTTAGGGTATAGGATTTAGGCTTCAGCATTTAGGGTTCAACGTTCAGGGGTGTAGGGTTTAGGGTGTAGGGTTTAAGGTTTAAGGTTCAGGGTTTAGGTTTTAAGGTGAAAGGTTCAAGGTTGACGGTTAAGGGTTTAGGGAGTAGGGTTTAAGATGCACGGTGTAGGATTTAGCTTGTAGGGTTTAGTGTGCTGGGGTTAGGGTTTTAGGTGAAGGGTTTAAGGTGTAGGATTTAAGATGTAGGGTTTAGGGTGTAAGGTTTAGGGTTTAAGGTTTATGGAATAGGGTCTAGGGTGTAAGGTTTAAGGTGTAGGCCACTACAGGAAATGTGCTGATTACCGAAGGCATATTATCGACGGCCTTTCAGTCCTTCGGTAAGGATCATTTACCGAAGGCTTTCCCGACGACTCTCATTAAGTTATTTATCGAGGGTCAGACATAACATACCTAGGGTCTTTGGCCTTCGGTAATGTCCACGATAATTTAAGTTCTCGAATTTGGTATTCGTTCCCATATACTCAGAATTTCCCCAATTTCCCTCCCCTTTCCTCGTCTCCAGCTCCCCTCTCCTTTCCTTCCCCATTGTGCTCGTGCCGTGAATTAACGGTTGCTCTAGTCTCCGTTGCTTGGTTGGTTCATTGACGGTGGTTTGGGGGTTGGGTGCTAGGTTCGGTGACGCTGCCTTGTGGGTTGTGGTGGTTGGTCGTTTGTGGCGATTTGGGGGTTCTGTAGCAGTGCTGTGGCGGTGTGGTGACAGTGCTGTGACAGTGTGACGACGGTGCTGTAGTGGCGTGACGACGGTGCTGTGGCGGCGTGACCAGGGCTTCCACTATCGCAAGGCGAGGCCAATGTAGGGGTCTGTGACGAGGTAAGAGGTGTGCTCTGAACTTGTGAATGAACTGTGTGAATGAACTGTGTGCAAATGTATAATGAAAACCCCTAATTCACTTCCATTCCAAATGAAAGACGTGTGCTCTGCATCAAATCAGAACATCTGAACCAAGCAGGGAAAATGAAACTTAGGTTTAGTTCAACAAAATGTGTTTTTTTCCCTTAATCTTTTTTGTTTTCATTGATAAATAGAAATGGGTAACTTCATTTTCTCTGTGATTCAAAACTAAGTATATTTTCTTGTAATATATATGAGATAGAATTTAACACATATAATCTAGTTTCTTAGGGGATAAGGAAGTTGTGTTCTGGTTTGGTAGATGATGTCAATGTAAGGTTGATCCAAAATTGCAGTGCTGAATTATTCTCTCCTAAAAACGAAAGAATGAGTGTAGATTGATTGACGATGCTGTGAAGATTGCATTTTTAACTTTAAGTTTGTTCTGGGAATCTGCCATAATTTTTTACTTTTTTTTTTCTTATTTAATTTATTCGTGCTGTTGGGATGGAGATGTGCCTAATCTCTCAGGTCCTGGAAATGAATGGTTAATCCCTTTCCACATGGTAGGCTTACTGGATCTGGCCTGAACCTTTTCTTCCTTAAAGACTACAGTTTTTCCCATTAGTGTCCAACTCCTTATTGGTATCATTTCAATTTTAATTTCTTGTTTTGTTTCTATATGGTTATATATTGCTTCTGCTTGTGTGCTTGTTGTAGATTGCTTAAAAACCTCTTTTGCTGCATATACTGATCATGCTTATTAAAACTCTCTTTCATTCATAACAGGTTGAATGCAAAGAACTTTTTTTACAGAGATTTGCCAGAACTGGATGATTCTATTGCTGATAAGCTTCTCCCTGGATGCAGCACAGTGGAGCAGGTGACCTTTTTACCCGTTCTATGATTGTTAACTGAAGTGAGGAATTTTGTTGAGTTGAAATCAGAGTAAAATTCTCTAGCATGAATTGTCAGGTCAAAGACTTATTGTTACAGAGATGCCTAGAGGTGGAGCAAACAGCTCGAGAACAAGCAACTGATAATGCTATCTTAGATCAGATTTCTAAGGTAATATTACATTAGATTGATTTTGTCTTATCTCCTAGGTTATTACCATGTACCTTGCACGTGTTTTCTATGTGTGCATAATGAAGCACACTTGCATCTAACATGGATATACCGAGTAATCATCATCATCTTCATTATTTTTGGTAGACATCCATTTTAGAATTTGGATTTAAAGTCCAATTCAATCTCATAAACTTGTAAAGTGAAATTCAAGCTTTATTAGCTCTATTGAAATTGCCTTTCTAGTTGATGTAGGATTAAACACCACCTTTAAGACTGAAATTATTTAAAGGTTAGGACTGTATTTAATTTATGGAGCCAACCTATTAGAAATACAGGTATTGATTGCATGATGCGTCATTTTCAGGCCAATCTTTTTACATTTTTATTCACAGTTTAATGGGAAGACAAACAAACTCTGATCTCTCTCAGGCAAAAATGAAACTAAGTGAGCAACAACTGGCATCTCTCTCAAGTCCAAAGGCTGTGAACCAATATCTTGAGCATCAGAAGGAAAATATAACAAATTTGATAAAACAGAATCTGGCAGTGGGTGATATATATAGGCGTGAAAATCTGCAGGTAGCATGTTTGCTTAAGATGTGTCCATTATATACATATTTGTTCAGGTCATGCTGACAACAAATTCTTTCTCCTTGTCAAAATATGGAACAAGTGGACCAATTCTCAGTGATCTGTCTAAGTATAAAGGTCACTTTTGCTTATAAAAATGATTTGTGCATTTGTGTGTTTTGTAGTTTGCTACCGAGGATCTCGTCAAAGAGGTTGAGAATTCCATTGCTGAATTCAAACGTCAAAATCAAGAATATGATGAGGAACGGGTGAAGGATCAGGTTTGCATCATACTTCCTTGTTTATTTACTGTTGTTTATTGTTTTGGCTGCTTCATCGGTTCATGTATATATGTAGAACTACAGATATCTTGAACTGTTTTCAAAATGGTCCATGTAGGGATAGGACTTCATACTGCATACCATTTTGATTAACTATATTATATATGCATCACATTCTGCAGCAACAACGCTCTGTTTTTTTTTTCGCCCTTCGGTAATTACCGAAGGCTTTTGGCCCTCGGTAATTACCGAAGGCTTTTGGCCCTCGGTAATTACCGAAGGGCAAAAGCCCTCGGTAAATGTTAGCGACAAGGGATTTACCGAGGGCTCTGTGGCCGTCGATAAGCCTTCGGTAATTACCTTTTACCGACGGTTTTGGGCTGTTTCCGAGGGCTTCTGGCCTTCGGTAATGCCCTTCTTTTTTGTAGTGNCTGTGATTCAAAACTAAGTATATTTTCTTGTAATATATATGAGATAGAATTTAACACATATAATCTAGTTTCTTAGGGGATAAGGAAGTTGTGTTCTGGTTTGGTAGATGATGTCAATGTAAGGTTGATCCAAAATTGCAGTGCTGAATTATTCTCTCCTAAAAACGAAAGAATGAGTGTAGATTGATTGACGATGCTGTGAAGATTGCATTTTTAACTTTAAGTTTGTTCTGGGAATCTGCCATAATTTTTTACTTTTTTTTTTCTTATTTAATTTATTCGTGCTGTTGGGATGGAGATGTGCCTAATCTCTCAGGTCCTGGAAATGAATGGTTAATCCCTTTCCACATGGTAGGCTTACTGGATCTGGCCTGAACCTTTTCTTCCTTAAAGACTACAGTTTTTCCCATTAGTGTCCAACTCCTTATTGGTATCATTTCAATTTTAATTTCTTGTTTTGTTTCTATATGGTTATATATTGCTTCTGCTTGTGTGCTTGTTGTAGATTGCTTAAAAACCTCTTTTGCTGCATATACTGATCATGCTTATTAAAACTCTCTTTCATTCATAACAGGTTGAATGCAAAGAACTTTTTTTACAGAGATTTGCCAGAACTGGATGATTCTATTGCTGATAAGCTTCTCCCTGGATGCAGCACAGTGGAGCAGGTGACCTTTTTACCCGTTCTATGATTGTTAACTGAAGTGAGGAATTTTGTTGAGTTGAAATCAGAGTAAAATTCTCTAGCATGAATTGTCAGGTCAAAGACTTATTGTTACAGAGATGCCTAGAGGTGGAGCAAACAGCTCGAGAACAAGCAACTGATAATGCTATCTTAGATCAGATTTCTAAGGTAATATTACATTAGATTGATTTTGTCTTATCTCCTAGGTTATTACCATGTACCTTGCACGTGTTTTCTATGTGTGCATAATGAAGCACACTTGCATCTAACATGGATATACCGAGTAATCATCATCATCTTCATTATTTTTGGTAGACATCCATTTTAGAATTTGGATTTAAAGTCCAATTCAATCTCATAAACTTGTAAAGTGAAATTCAAGCTTTATTAGCTCTATTGAAATTGCCTTTCTAGTTGATGTAGGATTAAACACCACCTTTAAGACTGAAATTATTTAAAGGTTAGGACTGTATTTAATTTATGGAGCCAACCTATTAGAAATACAGGTATTGATTGCATGATGCGTCATTTTCAGGCCAATCTTTTTACATTTTTATTCACAGTTTAATGGGAAGACAAACAAACTCTGATCTTTCTCAGGCAAAAATGAAACTAAGTGAGCAACAACTGGCATCTCTCTCAAGTCCAAAGGCTGTGAACCAATATCTTGAGCATCAGAAGGAAAATATAACAAATTTGATAAAACAGAATCTGGCAGTGGGTGATATATATAGGCGTGAAAATCTGCAGGTAGCATGTTTGCTTAAGATGTGTCCATTATATACATATTTGTTCAGGTCATGCTGACAACAAATTCTTTCTCCTTGTCAAAATATGGAACAAGTGGACCAATTCTCAGTGATCTGTCTAAGTATAAAGGTCACTTTTGCTTATAAAAATGATTTGTGCATTTGTGTGTTTTGTAGTTTGCTACCGAGGATCTCGTCAAAGAGGTTGAGAATTCCATTGCTGAATTCAAACGTCAAAATCAAGAATATGATGAGGAATGGGTGAAGGATCAGGTTTGCATCATACTTCCTTGTTTATTTACTGTTGTTTATTGTTTTGGCTGCTTCATCGGTTCATGTATATATGTAGAACTACAAATATCTTGAACTGTTTTCAAAATGGTCCATGTAGGGATAGGACTTCATACTGCATACCATTTTGATTAACTATATTATATATGCATCGCATTCTGCAGCAACAACGCTCTGTTTTTTTTTTCGCCCTTCGGTAATTACCGAAGGCTTTTGGCCCTCGGTAATTACCGAAGGCTTTTGGCCCTCGGTAATTACCGAAGGGCAAAAGCCCTCGGTAAATGTTAGCGACAAGGAATTTACCGAGGGCTCTGTGGCCGTCGATAAGCCTTCGGTAATTACCTTTTACCGACGATTTTGGGCTGTTTCCGAGGGCTTCTGGCCTTCGGTAATGCCCTTCTTTTTTGTAGTGGGCTTTAGCGTAAATGTTTTAGGGTGTAGGATATCGTTTAGGGTGTAAGGTTTTGGGTCAAGAGTTTAAGGTGTAGGGTTTAGGGTTTGTGGTTTATGGTGTAGGGTTTAACGTGTAAGTTTTACGGTGTAGGGTTTAAGTTGTAGGGTTTAGAGTGTAAGGTTTAGGGTGCAGGGTTTAGAGTGTAGGGTTCATGATGTACGGTTTAAAGGGTGAGGTTTAGGGTTTAAGGTGTCTGGTTTAATGTTTAAGGAGTAGGGTTTAAGATTTAAGGTGTATAGTTTAGGGTTTATGATTTTTGATTTGGGGTGTATGGTGTACGGTTTGGGGTGTAGGGTGTAAGCTCTAGGGTATATGATTTAGGGTTTAAGGTTTAACATTCAGGGGTGTAAGGTTTATGGTGTAGGGTTTAGGGTTTAAGGTTCAGGGTTTAGATTTTAAGTTGAAGGGTTCAAGGTTGAGTGTTAAGGGTTTACGGAACAGGGTTTAAGATGCAAGGTCGAGGGTTTAGGGTTTAGGATTTTGGGTTTGAGTTTTGGGGTTTGGGATTTTGGGGTTGGTATTTACGGTGCAGGGTTTAGGGTTTAAGATTTAGAGTGTGGGGTTTATGGTGTGTGGTTTAGAGTTTAAGGTTTAGGATGTAAGGTTTAAGGGGTAAGGTTTAGGGTGTAGGGTTGAACATTTAGAGTGTAGAGTTTAGGGTTTATGGGTTAGGGTTTATGATGTATGATTTAGGGTTTATGGTTTAAGGCTTAGAGCTTAGGGTTCAGGGTTAAGGGTCTAAGGTTGAGAGTTAAGGATTGCAAGTGTAGGGTTTAAGGTTTATAGTTTAGGGTGTAGGGTTTAGTGTTTAGGGTTTAGAGCTTACGGTTTAGGGTGTAGGGTTTAGAGAGTAGGGTGTAAGGTGTAAGGTTTAGAGTTTAAGGTTTAGGGTTTGAGAGTGTATGGTTTAAGGGAAGGGTTTAGGGTTTGAGAGTGTATGGTTTAAGGGAAAGGTTTAGAGTTGAGGGTGTTGGGTTTATGGTGTAGGGTTTATGGTGTAGGGTTTATGGTATATGGTTTGGGGTTTATGGTGTAAGGTTTAAGGTATAGGGTTTAGGGTGTAGGATTTAGCATTTAGGATGTAGGATTTAGCGTTTAGGGTGTAGGGTTTAGTGTTTAGGGTGTAGGGTTTATGGTTTATGGGTTAGGATTTACAGTGTATTTTGTAAGGTGTAGGGTGTAGGACTTAGGTTTATGGTGTAGCGGTTAGGGTTTATGGTTAAGGGTGTAGGGTTTAAGGTTTAGTGTTTAGGGTTCAAGATTTATGGTTCAAGGTTAAGGGTTTAAGGTTCCGAGTTCAGGGTGTAGGGTGTAAGGTTTACGGTGTAAGGTTTAGGGTTTAGTGTTTATGGTTTAAGGTGTATGGTTTAGGATTTAGGATTTAAAGTTGAGGATTTAGGTTTTATGGTTTGGGATTTATGGTGTACGATGTAGGATGTAGCGTTGAAAGTTTATGGTTTATGATGTACGATGTAAGATGTAGCGTTTAAAGTTTAGGGTTTAGGATTATGGTTGAGGGTTAATAGTTTAAGATTGAAGGTTAAGGGTATGGGGTGTAGGGTTTAACATGTATGGTTTAGGATTTAAGGTTTACAGTATATAGTTTATGGTGTAGGGTTTGTGGTTTAGGATATAGAGTTTGAGGTTTATGATTTATGGGTTAGGGTTTACAATGTATTTTGTAAGGTGTAGGGTGTAGGGCTTAGGTTTATGGTGTAGCGTTTAGGGTTTATGCTTAAGGGTGTAGGGTTTAAGGTTTAGTATTTAGGGTTCGAAGTTAAGGGTTTAAGGTTCAGGGTTCAGGGTTTAGGGTGTAAGGTGTAAAGTTTAGGGTGTACGGTTTAGGGTTTAGTGTTTATGGTTTAGGATTTAGTGTTTAAAGTTGAAGGTTGAGGTTTTAGGGTTTGGGGTTTATGGTGTACAGTATAGGTGTAACGTTTAAAGTTTAGGGTTTATGATGTACGATGTAGGATGTAGCATTTAAAGTTTAGGGTTTAGGGTTATGGTTCAGGATTAACAGTTTAAGATTGAAGGTTAAGGGTTCAGGGTGTAAGGTGTAGGGTTTAGCATGTATATGGTTTAGGATGTAAGGTTTACGGTATATAGTTTATGGTGTAGGGTTTGTGGTTTAAGGTTTGAGATTTAGGTTTTAGGATGTAGGGTTTAGGGTCTAGGGTTTAAAGTTTATGGTTTAAGATTTAGGGCTTAAAGATGTATGGTTTAGGGTTTAGGCTTATGAGCTAGATATAGATAAGGAGGCATTCTGGTAATTAATATGACAACCTTGGTTTGCTAAACACTTTCCTTATAAACTTAATTGGGACAAGCAAACTTTCATTCACATTGACTAAAACCAATGTTTTATTATAGAACAAATCAAATTGGGGTAAAGTCTCGTGTTATTAGTGAGAAGAATAATTTAAAGCACGAACAAAACAACAAAATAGGGGAACATGAGGCATAAATCTTCATCATATATAGACTTCTACACTTAATCAATATGAGGACTATAAAATATTAGGCTGCTCTTAATTTATAAATATGAAGAGAGCCTCATAAGTGATCTGTTGTCGGAATTGGAAAGCATCAGCCACATAGTTTGCATTCTCTATCTGTTGTCGGGTCAATTTTATTTCAGAACAACCTGAAGCTCTTCGGGTTACTTAAAAGCTAGATATACCTGGATTCACCAATACATTTAACCAAAACATTAATACATGTCAGTTTTACACTTCCAAAAGTCCTACACACACATAGCAAAAATAAAAAACAGAGCAACACAAAATTCACCAAGGGTATACACAGAATAACCATTCCAGTTAAGGAATAAAAGGGTGAATAACACGCAGCTAAGTGATTTATGCACAGATGAATTGGTTTGAGAACCACCATAGCTTTTGGGGTAGACTTGGGTTGTGGCGACTGAGGGAGCATTTTTGGCGATGTTTGAGGTGGTGGGCTCGAGTTAGAGAAGCTGAAGCGGAAGAGACCAAAGGATTGGGGTTTGGTTAGTATAGAGGAGAGAAGGAAAGTGATGAGTTTCATTAAATATTAAAAATACACTTTCATAAAAACATAAAATCCACCTCACTTTGCTTGTAGGGAATCCACGTGGGCAGTTAAATGCCATCTCAACACTGTTATGCACACCTGGACTGTATGTCGTTAACGATTTAAACGACGTTTCCAAAAAGGACCAAATTGAACAGATTTTACATTCTTTAGGACCACCTTGAACAAAAAAAATAAACATGGATCGAAACAAACGCACTTGACCAAAATAGGAACCAAAAGAGGTATTAAGCCCTAAATATATCAACAGTAATAATAATAAGATTTCTAATTCTCTAACATAAACAATTCAATCATAATGAATTACTCGATCTTCAACTTCGAGTTGGGTGTAGGTTTAGGGTCTAGGGTTTAGGGTATAGGGTTAAGGATGTAAAATTTAAGGTTTGAGGTTTAGGGTTAAGGGTTTTTTGTTCAGAGTTAAGGGTTTAAGGTTGTGGGTGTAGGCTTTAAGGTTTAGGGTGTAGGGATTAGGGTGTAGGATTTTGGGTTTAGGATGTAGTGGTTAGGGTTTAAGGTGTAGTGTGTAGGCTTTAGGGTATATGGTTTAAGACTTTTGGTTTAGGGTTTAGGTTTTTTGGTTTGGGTTTAATGGTATTTGGTTTAAGGGCATTGTTTAAGGTTGATGGTTAAGGGTTTAAAGTGTAGGGTGTAGGATTTAGGATGTAGGGTTTAGGGTGTAGGGTTTAGGGTGTAGCATTTTGGGTTTAGGGTGTAGGATGTAGTGGTTAGGGTTTAAGGTGTAGGGTGTAGTGTGTAGGCTTTAGGGTGTATGGTTTAAGATTTTTGGTTTAGGATTTAGGTTTTTTGGTTTGGGTTTAGTGGTGTTTGGTTTAAGGGCATTGTTTAAGTTTGAGGGTTTAAGGTTGATGGTTAAGGGTTTAAGGTGCAAGGTGTAGGATGTAGGGTTTAGGGTGTAGGGTTTAGGGTGTAGGGTTTAGGGTGTAGGATTTAGGGTTTAAGGATTTAGGCTTTAGGCTTTGGGGCTTAGGATTTATGGGTTAGGGTTTATGGTGTAGGACTTAGGGTTTAGGGTTTAAGGTTTAGGTGTTAGGGTTCAGGGTCTAGGGATCAAGGTGTATGGTTTAAGGTTTAGGGTTTAGTGAGTAGGGTTTAGGATTTATGGTGTAGGGGTTAGTGTTTAGGGTTTAGGTTTAGGGATTAGGGTTTAGGGGTTAGGGGTTAGGGTTTAGGGATTCGGGTTTATGGATTCGGGTTTAGGGTTTCGGGTTTAGGATTTCGGGTTTAGGGTTTCAGGTTTCAGGTTTAGGGTATCGGGTTTAGGGTTTCGAGTTTTTAGGGGGTTTAGGATTTTTAGGGGGTTCAGGGTTTTTAGGGGGTTCAGGGTTTTTAGGGGGTTCAGGGTTTTTAGGGGGTTCAGGGATTTTAGGGGGTTTAGGATTTTAGGGGGTTTGGGGCTTGCGGTTTGGGGCTTGCGGTATGGGGCTTGGGGTTTGGGGTTTGGGGTTTGGGGTTTGGGGNTTATGAGCTAGATATAGATAAGGAGGCATTCTGGTAATTAATATGACAACCTTGGTTTGCTAAACACTTTCCTTATAAACTTAATTGGGACAAGCAAACTTTCATTCACATTGACTAAAACCAATGTTTTATTATAGAACAAATCAAATTGGGGTAAAGTCTCGTGTTATTAGTGAGAAGAATAATTTAAAGCACGAACAAAACAACAAAATAGGGGAACATGAGGCATAAATCTTCATCATATATAGACTTCTACACTTAATCAATATGAGGACTATAAAATATTAGGCTGCTCTTAATTTATAAATATGAAGAGAGCCTCATAAGTGATCTGTTGTCGGAATTGGAAAGCATCAGCCACATAGTTTGCATTCTCTATCTGTTGTCGGGTCAATTTTATTTCAGAACAACCTGAAGCTCTTCGGGTTACTTAAAAGCTAGATATACCTGGATTCACCAATACATTTAACCAAAACATTAATACATGTCAGTTTTACACTTCCAAAAGTCCTACACACACATAGCAAAAATAAAAAACAGAGCAACACAAAATTCACCAAGGGTATACACAGAATAACCATTCCAGTTAAGGAATAAAAGGGTGAATAACACGCAGCTAAGTGATTTATGCACAGATGAATTGGTTTGAGAACCACCATAGCTTTTGGGGTAGACTTGGGTTGTGGCGACTGAGGGAGCATTTTTGGCGATGTTTGAGGTGGTGGGCTCGAGTTAGAGAAGCTGAAGCGGAAGAGACCAAAGGATTGGGGTTTGGTTAGTATAGAGGAGAGAAGGAAAGTGATGAGTTTCATTAAATATTAAAAATACACTTTCATAAAAACATAAAATCCACCTCACTTTGCTTGTAGGGAATCCACGTGGGCAGTTAAATGCCATCTCAACACTGTTGTGCACACCTGGACTGTTTGTCGTTAACGATTTAAACGACGTTTCCAAAAAGGACCAAATTGAACAGATTTTACATTCTTTAGGACCACCTTGAACAAAAAAAATAAACATGGATCGAAACGAACGCACTTGACCAAAATAGGAACCAAAAGAGGTATTAAGCCCTAAATATATCAACAGTAATAATAATAAGATTTCTAATTCTCTAACATAAACAATTCAATCATAATGAATTACTCGATCTTCAACTTCGAGTTGGGTGTAGGTTTAGGGTCTAGGGTTTAGGGTATAGGGTTAAGGATGTAAAATTTAAGGTTTGAGGTTTAGGGTTAAGGGTTTTTTGTTCAGAGTTAAGGGTTTAAGGTTGTGGGTGTAGGCTTTAAGGTTTAGGGTGTAGGGATTAGGGTGTAGGATTTTGGGTTTAGGATGTAGTGGTTAGGGTTTAAGGTGTAGTGTGTAGGCTTTAGGGTATATGGTTTAAGACTTTTGGTTTAGGGTTTAGGTTTTTTGGTTTGGGTTTAATGGTATTTGGTTTAAGGGCATTGTTTAAGGTTGATGGTTAAGGGTTTAAAGTGTAGGGTGTAGGATTTAGGATGTAGGGTTTAGGGTGTAGGGTTTAGGGTGTAGCATTTTGGGTTTAGGGTGTAGGATGTAGTGGTTAGGGTTTAAGGTGTAGGGTGTAGTGTGTAGGCTTTAGGGTGTATGGTTTAAGATTTTTGGTTTAGGATTTAGGTTTTTTGGTTTGGGTTTAGTGGTGTTTGGTTTAAGGGCATTGTTTAAGTTTGAGGGTTTAAGGTTGATGGTTAAGGGTTTAAGGTGCAAGGTGTAGGATGTAGGGTTTAGGGTGTAGGGTTTAGGGTGTAGGGTTTAGGGTGTAGGATTTAGGGTTTAAGGATTTAGGCTTTAGGCTTTGGGGCTTAGGATTTATGGGTTAGGGTTTATGGTGTAGGACTTAGGGTTTAGGGTTTAAGGTTTAGGTGTTAGGGTTCAGGGTCTAGGGATCAAGGTGTATGGTTTAAGGTTTAGGGTTTAGTGAGTAGGGTTTAGGATTTATGGTGTAGGGGTTAGTGTTTAGGGTTTAGGTTTAGGGATTAGGGTTTAGGGGTTAGGGGTTAGGGTTTAGGGATTCGGGTTTATGGATTCGGGTTTAGGGTTTCGGGTTTAGGATTTCGGGTTTAGGGTTTCAGGTTTCAGGTTTAGGGTATCGGGTTTAGGGTTTCGAGTTTTTAGGGGGTTTAGGATTTTTAGGGGGTTCAGGGTTTTTAGGGGGTTCAGGGTTTTTAGGGGGTTCAGGGTTTTTAGGGGGTTCAGGGATTTTAGGGGGTTTAGGATTTTAGGGGGTTTGGGGCTTGCGGTTTGGGGCTTGCGGTATGGGGCTTGGGGTTTGGGGTTTGGGGTTTGGGGTTTGGGGTTTGGTTTTTTGGGTTTGTGGTTTGGGGTTTGGGGTTTGGAGTTTGGGGTTTGGTGTTTGGTGTTTGGGGTTTGGGGTTTGGGTTTTTTGGTTTGGGGTTTGGCGTTTGGGGTTTGGGGTTTTGGGTTTGGGTATGGGTTTGGGTTTAGGGTTTAGGGTTTTAGGGTTTTTGGGGTTTAAGGTTGAGGGTTGAGGGTTTCGGGGTTGGAGTTCGGGGTTCCGGATTCAGGATTTCGGGTTCTGGGTTTCGGGTTTCGGGTTCCGGGTTCTGGGTTCTGGGGTCGGGGGTCCAGGGTCCGGGGTCAGAGGTCCGGGGTCCGAGGGTCCGAGGGTCCCGGGGTGCCGGGTTTCGGGGTTCATGGTTCCGGGTTCCGGGTTCCGGGTTTTGGGTTTAGGGTTTGGAGTTTGGGGTTTGGGGATTGGGGTTTTGGGTTTTGGGGTTTGGGGTTTTGGGTTTGGGGTTTGGGTTTGGAGATTTTGGTTTAGGGTTTTTGGTTTTTAGGGTTTCGGGTTTTTAGGGTTTCGGGTTTTTGGGGTTTCGGGTTTCTGGTTTCGGGTTTCGGGTTTGGGGTTTCGGGTTTGAGGTTTCAGGTTATGGGTTGAGGGTTTTGGGGTTTAGGGTTTAGGGTTTTGGGGTTTGGGGTTTGGGGTTTTGGGTTTGGGGTTTGGGATTTGGGGTATGGGGTTTGGGGTATGGGGTTTGGGTTGAGGGTTTAGGGTTTTTAGGGTTTAGGGTTGATGGTTTCGGTTTGGTGTTTGGGGTTTAGGGTTTAGGGTTTAGGGTTTAGGGTTTAGGGTTTAGGGGTTCCGGATTCCGGGTTCTGGGTTCGGGGTTCCAGGGTCTGGTTTTCGGGGTCGGGGGTCCGTGGTCAGAGTTCCGGGGGTCTAGGGGTCGGGGGTCCGAGAGTCGGGGTTCGGGGTTCGGGGTTCGGGGTTATGGTTTTGGAGTTTGGGATTTAGGGTTTGGGGTTTGGGGTTTTGGATTTTGGGTTTGGGGTTTGGGGTTTAGGGTGTGGGGTTTGGGTTGAGGGTTTAGGGTTTTTAGGGTTTAGGGTTGATGGTTTCGGTTTCGTGTTTGGGGTTTGGGGTTCTGGTTCGGGGTTCCGGATTCCGGGTTCCGGGTTCGGGGTTCCAGGGTTCGATTTTCGGGGTCCGTGGTCAGGGTTCCGGGGGTCTGGGGGTCGGGGGTCCGAGAGTCGGGGTTCGCGGTTCGGGGTTCGCGGTTCTGGTTTTGGAGTTTGGGGTTTTGTGTTTGGGGTTTGGGGTTTGGGGTTTGGGGTTTTGGATTTTGGGTTTGGGGTTTGGGGTTTTGGGTTTGGGGTTTGGGTTTTGGGGTTTGGGGTTTAGGGTTTTGGGTTTTGGGGTTTGGGGTTTGGGGTTTATTGTTTGGGTCTTGGGGTTTGGGGCTTTGGGTTTGGGCTTTGGGGTTTGCGGTTTGGGGTTTGGGGTTTGTGGTTTTGGTGTAATCCTTCCCGACGTAGTCCTTCTTTGTATTTTTACCTTTCATAGGTTAGCTTATAAGGAGCATGGGTGACTATAAATACCTAGCTTCTCTATTGTAATGGGACTTTTGAGATTAATGAGAATTGAATTTTCTGAAATCAGAAATTATTCTCTCTTGAAAGTCATAGGCTAGAGAGTCCAAAGACTCCCTCTGGCCACCTTCCAAGCACCTCTCTCACTTTCATTTTCCAATTTTCACCGTGCTTCTCTCTCACGTTACCATTCTTCGCTGCCACCTCACATCAGCTTCCAAACTGCCTACACCTTCAGCAACCACGCGTCCTCTTTTGTCTCGCATACAACATCACCACATCTTCATTTCTCACCAATTCTCTCTCGCAGAACGCGTCCATTTCTCTCTCGAGAGCTCATCCTCGCGAGCCTTCTGCTTTCATCACAGTAAGCTTCTACACTTACATTTTCTTCTCAGATTTGCATTTTCACTCTCCGCATCTCCTGACCACATCTAAACCTAGGGTTTCTTCATCATTTTGTCTTTTCCTGCCATTCTCACCATTTGTTTTCGATTTCCACCGGCTAAACCCTTCTTTGCTCCGATCAAACCCTTTTCCACCGTTCAATCTTGAGTTCGAACCGATTAATTGGTTCATTTTGAGTTTTCCCTCTTTTCTAGGGTTCGTTCATGATTTTAGGGTTTTCTGCAATTGATTTCGTTTCTCTAAGTTTCCTTCGAGTCAGCTCTCAATCTAGAGCTTCGTTTACATATCCGCTGCGTCTTATCTCGTCGAGGAAGGCTCGAGGAGTTCGAATCGTGCTCGCACAGCTTCAATCGACCTCTCCTTGGGCGCTCGTCCATCATTTGGGGTTTGGGGTTTGCGGTTTGCGGTTTGGGGTTTGGGGTATGGGGTATGGGGTTTGGGGTTTAGGGTTCTGGGTTTCGGGTTCCGGGTTCCCAGTTCCGGGTTCCGGGTTTAGGGTTTAGGGGTAAGGGGTTTGGGTTTTGGGGTTTATGGTTCCGGGTTTCGGATTTAGGGTTTCGAGGTCTGGGGTTGGGGGTCCGGGGTTTATGGTACGGGATCCGGGGGGTCCCGAGGGTCCGGGGGTTCGGCGTTCAGGGTTCGGTGTTAGGGGTTCTGGGTTCGGGGTTCGGGGTTCTGGGTTCAGGGTTTTGGGTTCTGGGTTTGGTGTTCAGGGTTTAGGGTTTGGAGTTTGGTGTTTGGGGTTTGGGGTTTTTGGTTTGGGGTTTGGCGTTTGGGGTTTGGGGTTTGGGGTTTTGAGTTTAGGGTTTAGGGTTTCGGTTTTGGTTTCGGGGTTCGGGTTCGGGGTTTGAGGTTGGGGTTCCGGATTCCGGCTTCCGGGGTCCGGGTTCCGGGTTCCAAGTTCCGAGTTTCGGGTTCCGGGTTCCAGGTTCCGAGTTCCGAGGTCTGGGGTCCGGGGTCCAGGGTCCGGGGTCTGGGGTCCAGGGTCCGGGGGTCCAGGACTGCCGGGGTTCGGGGTTCGGGGTTATGGGTTCGGGGTTCGGGGTTCGGGGTTCTGGGTTCTGGGTTTGGGGTTTGGGGTTTGGGGTTTGAGGTTTGGGGTTTGGGGTTTGGGGTTTGGGCTTTGGGGTTTGGGGATTGGGGATTGGGGTTTGGGGTTTTGAGTTAGGGGTTTTGGGTTTGGGGTTTGGGGTTTTGGGTTTGGGGTTTGGTGTTGGAGATTGGGTTTGGGGTTTTTGGTTTAGGGTTTTTGGTTTTTAGGGTTTTTGGGGGTTTAGAGCTTAGGGTTTCGAGTATTTAGGGTTTCGGGTTTTTGGGGTTTCGGGTTTAAGGTTTGGGGTTTCGGGTTTTGGGTTTAGAGTTTAGGGTTTGGGGTTTGGGTTTAGGGTTTTGGGTTTAGGGGTTAGGGTTTTAAGGTTTTTAGGGTTTAGGGTTGAGGGTTTCGGTTTGGGGTTTGGGGTTCGGGTTTAGGGTTTCGAATTTGGGGTTTCGGGTTTTGGGTTTTGGGTTTTGGGTTTAGGGTTTCGGGTTTAAGGGTTTGGGCTTTTGGGATTTGGGCTTTGGGGTATGGGGTTTGGGATTTGGGGTTTGGGGTTTGGGGTTTAATGTTTTGGGTTTGGGTTTATGGTTTAGGGTTTTTAGGGTTGACTGTTTCGGTTTCGGTTTCGGGTTCGGGGTTCCGGGTTCGGGGTTCTGGATTCCGGGTTCCGAGTTCCGGGTTCCGGGTTTCGGGTTTCGGTTTCCCGGTTTCGGGTTTACGGTTTAGTGTTTAGGTGTTTGGGGTTTGGGGTTTGGGATTTGGGGTTTGGGGTTTTGGGTTTGTGGGTTTTTGAGTATGGGGTTTTGGGTTTTGGGTTTTGGGTTAGGGTTTTTGGTTTTTGGGTTTTGTTTAGTTTAGGGTTGAAGGTTGAGGGTTTTCGGGGTTCGGGGGTGGGGTTCGGGGTTCGGGTTCGGGGTTGGGGTTTCCGGGTCCCGGTCCGGGGTCGGGTTTCCGGGGGTCCCGGGGCTCCGGGGTCGGGGTTCTGGGTTCAGGGTTAGTTTATGGGTTATTGGGTTTTGGGTTTGGGGTTTGGGGTTTGGGGTTTGGAGTTTGGGGTTTGGGGTTGTGTTTGGTTTGGGGTTTGGGGTTTGGGGTTTGGAGTTTTGGTTTTGGGTTTAGGGTTTATAGGGTTTCGGTTTGGTGTTTGGGGTTTGGTGTTCGGGGTTCGGGGGTCTTGGTTTGGGCTTCCGTATTCCGTGTTCCGGTATTCGGGTTCCGGGTTCCTGGTTTCGGGTTTCGGGGTCCGGGGTCGGGGTTCGGGATACGGATCTGGGGTCCGGGATTCGGGGTCTTGGGGCTCCGGAGGTGCCCGGGGTTCGGGGTTCGGGTTCGGGGTTCGGGGTTCAGGGTTCTGGGTTTTGGGTTTTGGGTTCTGGGTTTGGTGTTTGGGGTTTGGGGTTTGGGATTTGGGATTTGGGGTTTTGGGTTTGGGGTTTTGGGTTTGGGGTTTTGGGTTTGGGGTTTGGGGTTTTTGGTTTAGGGTTTTTGGTTTTTAGGGTTTTGGGTTTTTAGGGTTTCGGGTTTTTAGGGTTTCAGGTTTTTGGGGTTTCGGGGTTCAGGTTTTCGGGTTTCTGGTTTCGGGTTTCTGGTTCGGGTTTATGGTTTTCCCGGGTTTTTTATGTTTTCGGGTTTGAAGATTTTCGGGTTAGGGTTTAGGTTAGGCCACTACTACCCAAAAAGTGCATGATAGTGGCTTTTTTTTTATCATAGATAGCGCTTTTTAAGCGCTATTTATGGCAGCGCTATCTATTAATAGATAGCGCTTCTAAAAAAAAGCTATCTATTAGTGTCTGACAATAGATACTACTTTTTTAAGAAAGCGCTATCGGTTACTGTCTGAAAATAGACTGCGCTTGTTTAAATAAGCGTTATTTATTGTCAGACAACAATAGATAACGCTTATTTAAAAAAACGCTATCTATTGGTCTAATTTTTTTTAAAAAAAATTAAATTTTAAAAAAAAGAAATTTTAATAAAATATCTCAAAAACAAATCAAAAGAAATATAAAATATTAGTTTTTAGTTTTAACCTGTGATATTTATTGGTTCTATTATAAAAAATATATAAAATATTATAAAAAATATGAGAAAGACAAATGTCTCAAAGAATGTTTATTAATATAAAAAATAACTATTGTACAATAATATTTCAATAATAAACATATATCTATCCGTACCTTTAAACATTACATACCATAACATAACCTATAAGTATAACCTATAAGTATAACCTATAAATATGTACTAATTACGTAAACATTAATCTTCCCTAACTTCAATGATTTGACTGTCACGATATTGTTGATATCTGTAACTAAAAAAATACTGCAAAAAAATAATAATATAAAATTAGTCAATAAATTTTTACTAAAAAAAATTATTATGACAATGAAGCAAAATATGAAAGAAATCGTAAAAACATAAGCAAAATATATTCAGGCAAGTTTAAATCGACTAAAGAAATATTTGTCAAACCAGAATTTGTAATGTAACTCTCTAAACATGTTTTAAATGCTACAAGACTATTGAAAACTATGCTAACTACTAAAAATCAATAAGAATAAACCTTTTACTATGACACCAAAAAAAAAAAAGCAAAATAAGGACAAGATCCAATGCTACCTTCCAAAGCACCAAAACATAAACAATTCCTCAACTTTAAAACAGTCAGCAAGTTATAATGATAAAAGAGCACTTGTTATACCTTATCTATTCTAGAAACTAAAAATGCAATATCACTATAAAAAAAAAAAGAAAAAAAAAGAAAAAAAAACGTACCTAGAAAACAGCTAAAACTTAGGTCAAAACAGGAAAACAACTACAAAAAAAATTTCCCCCCCTAGAATCAACGATTAAAAACTAACCAAAGTACTTCCTACTAAAGTTTTGAACAAACCAACTAAGACTAGAACTAAAGCTAACTAGTTATTAAGACTAAAAATGTATAATTTAACTATAGTACCATATTCTAACTAAAAGAAAATTGATTGAACTAGCAAAATTCAATTAAAGAAACAAAACTACAATCAAGCTAGACTAAACAAATTGATTTAATCAATATAAAACTGTACATAAACCAATCTACCTATTATCTAGAAGAAATAAAATATGGTATCTAAACTAACTCATTCTAATCAAAAATAGATCTAAAAAAGTAAGAAGTAAATGCGAATGGAAGCTTGGTTAACTTCTATGTGAAATTAATGCTTGATTGATCAAGATTGGCAGCATTAGTAACTATAAGTCCTCCAATAGTAAGAAAAAATTAGGCCCACGTTAGTGATGCACTGCAAGATAATATACTTGAGTACAAAAGCTACAATATTTATCAATTATCAAGTTGTTATATACTAACCTTGGTGGATCTGTAAGGAGTTCGCCTCCTGCCATGCACAACACGATACATTATACAATTAGAGAGGAAGGCAAACAACAAAAAAATTGCACATTATAATAATAAATACTTTACAGCCCAATAAAGATCAATATAGCTTAAGCAAAACGTATTCCATCCTTGACTTTAACGGACAATCAATAACATCCACACCATCTGAATAGCCTTCTCATATGCTAAGTCAGTACAAGAAGTATTAGTCGCCCACTTGCTCATATCTTGGAATAACCTAAGTGTTTAACTGAAACATGAACAAATGAATGTATGTGGTTCACAATGATGTAATCCTCCACTACATAAAGTAATTATGAATGATTACCTATGATAACACTAAAGAACAAGATGAATACATAATTATAGAAAGCATAAAAGCACATAATCATAAAAGCAAAAAAGCATTGATTTTAAACACACTTTTTCCTTGGAGTATTGAGGCCCTTGTGAGCAAAGCAGTCTACATAAGAAGAATAGAAATCAGTAATCATTTAAGGGGGAATTTTATACTCCGCTATATGTAACTCTAAAACTTGGAGGAGATAACTTGCCTCGGAAACACTTTTTCAACTACATGTCGGGGTATATAGTTGAATCTATAATGATGAAACATATAATTTCAAGTTATTAAAGTTCAAACTTCATTATCTTGACGTCATTAGTACGGATCACTTATAAAGTTGAACGATAAATTAAAAAAACCACATATCTAAAATTGTTTTTCCTTTATCTGATAACATATGATTAGTTTTTCTGGACTAATGATCATGATCTATTGGGCTCTTGGACATAGTAAATTCCATACAAAAGATAGAAAGTATAACCACAAACATTTTTCACGAGAGTTAATTATAGCCTCTCCAATGTATGAGAAGGAAAGCTCAACCTATTTATTCTTGGAATCAGCTTCTACACAGATGCAAAGAAAACACTAAGTGCCTGGAAGTTAAAATTTGAGAGTCCAAGTTTCTTTTTATAACAAGAGAAAACATAAACTTATCTTGAATAATATTCAATTAAAATAGAATAATATAGGATTTACATATCGTAACAACAATAGTTCAAACAAAGAAACAAAGTTCATTTGTGAAGACTATTAAAGATGTGCTGCATACCAGCATTGGTATAAATTAAAGGAGCGTATTTTCCATGGCTTAAAACTTTAAAATCATGAAAACCCTGAAAAGCCAACAAATTGCTTAATGAGATAAAAAATTTTCTTATTGGATCTACGAAAGAAGCTTGAATCAATGAACACGGTCTTAACATACCATTGAGTATAACATTGCCAATACACCCATGGACAAAGTCATTTATCTTAATTAGACTATTTATACCATAGAGATGCATATAAAATATTGGCATGTTACCAAAAGTTTCTCTAACAGATAACTTGATTATATATTTTAAGAATTTAGTTTTAAGCACAATAATTTTATAAAACCATAATATAATTAATCTTAGGTAGATAAAAGTTCAAGATTGAGGACATAAAAACAAGTTTACGTTGAGATCTGATTTTGTTTAAGAAAGGAATAAGAGAGCAAATATATGCTTTAATTTCAACCAAATGAAAAGTAGATTTATCAACCCTTGAAGATAACCTTCACTTTAGAATGAGATCTAGAGCCAACTGTCACTATAGTACAATATATACAAATGAATTAAAGAAACAATATTGGACTTTAACTTCGAATCACATTTAAAATTACTCCTTAGTTAGTACCCACAACACCATAATCTATGTTTTGTAATGTATGGGAGAAAACAAACTCATAATTACCCCTTTCATTTTCTTATATTTTGTTGACAAAAGTAGTAATCATTTCTTCTTTTAGAAAATGAGAAAATTTACCCAATCATAATCACCCCGTGAATTAGATGCATTCGGGTGTAATTGTTGAGAAAGCCAACCCTTTTATCTGCAGTATTAATGAAATCAATTACAATCATCTGTGGCTGCAATAATCAACAACTAACACAATAATAACATCAACAGTAACCTTATCTTAGTAAGTGAAATCAACTATATGGATCACACACTAAGTTAAAAACGAAATTCTGAAGGATATTATTATCTACCGTGAAACCAAAAAAGTAATTTTATATAGAAGAATTTGACATCAATGTTCATCACCAAAACAATTCCTTTTCATCCTTCTCCAGTTCCTGGTTATCCTCCCACCCCCTCTTAACCATCAATGGATGTCCAAATGTTATTCTTTCCAGTGAGCTTTTTTGGCCTCAACCTACATTCGTTGGTGCGAGAAATAAGTTATAAAATGTCATTGAACAACAAAGAATAATAAAAGGTACAAATTAGAGCATTTGGGATAAAAAGAAGTGAAATGAATCTGATGGTTAACAATGTGAAATCCCAATAGGAGAGAATAGATAAATATATCACCTCACGCTTGCGAAGGAGGTGATGGAATAAGCTCCGAGAAGAACCCCCCAAACGAACCCGCTATGGACTCCTTCTAGCCCCTCAAAGAGTGAAACGCAGCGGAATGATACGAAATCCAAGAGTCAAAATGAACCAAAACTAAACTGTTGAATGAAATCAGGAAACCCTAAATCGAAAAAATCAGAAAAAAAATAAAAACAAGCACCACTACCCACACCCACAACAACCCACCACCCTCGCTCAATCCCTCCCCCCCCCACTCCACCCCCCTCCCTCCCTCCCCCCCCCTTTTAAAAAAATAACCTTACACAACTTGGTTAACCGATTAAAAACTTTGGAAAGTGTTTAAAATTTAAAATCGGATCAAAACACAGATTTTAAACGGTTAAAAATAAAGAACAAATGAAAGATGAGGGAAACCTAGCGAGGCCATAGATCGAAGAACTCATCGGTGAGATGGTGTTTCTAAGGTCTGAAATAGCTGAAATAAAGTAGAAATGTGAGGAGAAAAGGTGGGATATGTGCAGAATTTGTGGCTGTTGTCAGGAGATGAGAACTCCGAGGTATGGTTGATAGCGATGCTTCGCGAGAATGAGAGAGCACGCGAACTGAAATGAGGTGTAAGCCCGACCCAAAGCACAATGGATGTGGCAAAGGAACCGCTTGACGCGATCAAATGAAGATGTTGCACAAGGAGAGCGTTGACTCGATGTGTGGTTTTTGTTGGTGATGCCTTCAACAACACCATCACTTCTCTCTCCAGAACTTCTGGCGAAGCATTAAACCTAGCCACGACCGTACTAATTTCTTGAAGGAGGCTGGTTTCCTAAACCCTTATAGGTGACCGCAATTGCTGAACTTTGGCCGGTCGATGAGCAATGATGGAGAAGAC